GTTTAACCATATATTCAGGAGCTATTAGGCTCAATAAAAAATAATCTGTGGCTCAGATGATTTTAACTCCCACTTTTTTGCATATGAACAATCATAAAACATTCTTTTAATTTACCCAATAATTAACTCATCATAAAAATACATTTTTAAAAGTAAATTCTGGTTGTAGCTACAAAGCTATAAAGTGATGCTGGAAAAGGAATTCCTTCGATTATGAAAGAATTTATTGTGCGTGTTTCTGTTAGACAGGCTCTGCGAGCTCTGCCTTACATTCAGAAATAAGGTCAAAATGTTCTCTCACTCTCTCTCTCTCTCACACACACAAACACACACACTTCATGCTATTTATCAAACTTTAAGGTGACACCCCACAGCTCGTCAGAGTCAGGCAGGTCACAGCTGGACTTGTTGCCTGACTCGTCATGAACAGCAGACGTAACACCAAACACGCAGGAGGTGAGCTGACTTGAAGTCTAAAAAAATCATCCTGTTTAAAGTTAAAACTCAAAGCAGTGGAAGAAACCCGCCACCTTATCACCTCCTGTCTGTTGTGTGTCATTGTGCTCGCCTGTGTGGTGTCCCTCCTCCCCCGCACACTCCCTTGACGCTGCCCTGCCAAAGAGGAACTCAAAGTTGGACATGCAAGTAAAACAGTCCATCAGATATAATCCACCCGTTTTGTTTCTTCAGGCAGGACAGTGAACGATCAAGGGAGCCGTTACGAAGATCACGTGACGCAGATTTGTTGTGCCCAGGCTGGGGGCTTGCTGTCATAAGGCAGTGGGGTCCTGGCTGCCGATGCAGACGCTCCGTGTTGTTGCTCCTCTCCTTCATCCCTCTCTGCCTGTGCGGTGGTCCCAGGTTCGCCCACCCAGACTGGGAGCTCCAGACCTGGCTGAGAGGAGAAGGGTTTCTGCAGGACCTCGAGGACCCGTTGAACCTGCAGCACAGCAGGAAACATGAGATCAGGTGAACGTTATTTATTCATTTTTCTGACACATTTAGAAAAGGATCCAACCTCAGAAAAGTCCCCGTTCTCAGCAGCCTCTATTGCATTCTGGGCAATGTAGTTCCTGAGCACCACGCGAGGGTTGGAGCTGTTCATCACCCTCACCCTCTCCTCCTGCACGGACTGCACGTCGCTCTGACCCTCCAGCTCGCGAGCCAGACGTTTCCTGCAGTGGTGATACAACACAACACTCAGTCGTGGAACAATATCCACCACAAAACAACCATTTCCTCCCACTTCTGTCCGTCCACTCCTTTATCAGTCAGGTTCAGTCCACCAGAAGCACGTCTCATCTCTCAGCTGTTCTCCGGTTTCGCCTGCTGTTAATCAAGCCTCACCTATAGTGTGTGATCCAGGAACTCCACTCCTCGGCCTGTTTGGTTCTCAGCTCCTCCTCACTCGTCTCCATCAGGTCCTTCAGTTTGCCGAGTTTGTCCAACTGCCTGGCGATGGTCACCCGGTCTGAGACCATCTGGAACAGAGTCGGGTTGCTCTGAGCCATAGAGAGCAGCATTGAAAGCTCACTGCCAAAAAAAAACAGAAAATACTGCAACAATTAGCAACTTGGATTTTGATTTTTTTATTTAGTATATTAAGAAAGAGCTCTCAAATGAGACAAACAGAAACTTGTGCAACTCCTATACACTTTACATTTGAGGTAGTCTCATTCAGATAGTGTTCAAATTAATTAATAATCACCTTAAAAACTTCAGGTAAACTTCAGAATGTATGTTGTTGTGCTTTTGTAAGCTTTAAAGTAGACGTCATTTTTTTTTAAATCATTCTTTTTCACATTTAAAGGAATCCCTGATTAGTTGTAACATTAGACTTTATTTGATAAACATACATTTTAACTAAAATAAAGGCTGTAAAAATACTGTAGGCTGTTTAGTTTTGTAAATTTTTAAAAATATATTTTAACACAAACGGAGCCATTTTATTTACACGCAAAGCATTCTGGGTAACTGATGACGTGGATAGGTCCTTGGTGCGAGGCTGCTAGCGAGCTATATCCACCCTGAAGGTTAAT